GTCCACGGCTCTGAAGTCTGCATAAGGTAAATGATATACCCAAATAGTTCGTGTGAGGTATAATTGGGATTATCCTTCATGGTAAGTACAATTTGCCTAATCCTCAATTATAATCAAATTTGGCCTTAGTATACATCTTTTGGTTCAATTTATAAGTGCCTTGTGTTGAAGATTGTTCATGAAACCTTTCAGGTCAGTTGGACATTATCGCTGGCAGACGTTGGGTAGGTGGGACAGAGTCGGAGATGTTCAACAAGTTGGAAAGCATCGCCAACTCAGCAGAACCTCGCACACCAGTCCTGGACTGCCGCATCAGTAGAGCTCTGGAACCCGCCTACGTGAAGAGTGAGGTAAGGCCAAACAAATTTAATTTCTTGGTTAACGGATTCGCCGCTTCATTTTTTTCTGATTTGCAAATAAAAATAAAAATTCAGAATCAACTGCAAAATGCTAATCTTTTGCCCTGAACAGTTGAAAACAGTCCTTTACATCGTAGTTGTTACAGTTGTTCCATCTTTCAATGCAATGGTATCAATAAAAGTTCAAAATTCATTGTTTAAATTTCAGCCTGGTGTGTTGACTTTATGGCTCCTATCGTACCATTTTGGGCCATAATAGGATGCCTAGGGCTGTTTTTATTTTTATTTATTTTTCACCCACCCGCTCCATTATTTTTCTAGAAAAATCTGTTAACCAAGAAATTAAATTGGTGTGGCCTAAGGGGCACGTTATAATATAGCGTTGAATGGCCAAGTGTTAAAGGCATCCAGTGTGATTTCAGGGCAGCAAAACTGGAAATATTCTGAATAAGGCAATCTTTGTGATATTGACACACACTGTTTCACATCAGCACATTTGAGTCAGTATTTCATACTTTGGGCTTTTAAAACTGCAGAAACAAGCCCCAAAATGAGTCCTTTATTTCTGGGTGGTACCCTAAAAATCAGGCAAGGTCCCTTCCAGTAACCATTTTCTGTCAGAATTTTGGGTATTTTTGCTCCATGAATGTCAATATACATTTTCAACTCTGTATGTGGATAAATGACTGGAATATTGGCTTTGAAAAATCGGGTTTCCAAGCTCTAAAAACTGCACTGGATGCCAAGCGGACACAGCATCGAGAGGTCTCAGGTTCCTTTCCTTACATTCCTGGCTAGACTAGTGTGTCCTTGGGAAAGGCACTTTATATGACTTTTCTCACTCTATAGTATACCCAGGTGTAAATTGACTGGTAATACATGTACCTGTTCTTGTTTGGGGAATTAAAAGGCTGTGGAAGATGAGAGATGGGCTCTGCCTTCCCATACTTTGCCCTAGACACAGTGGATTTAAAAACATGCACATTTTGGCTGTTTGGCTATTGAAAAGCTGCTGAACTACAAAAGTATCTCAGAAGACTGTCAAAGGCATCTATTGCTATTTGCAGGGTGGAAAACTTGATTTTCAAAGTCAACTTTATGGTCATTTTGTATTGTACAATTATATTATATTTAATGTTAGTATTAAGTTGAATCAATCTAATCCAATAGCATACATGTGACATTACAGTGTATGTTTGAGGCAAAAATGCAATGTCACAGTTGATAGTTGCTTAATATCTTTTTTCTAGCTATATATGGACGGGACCCAAAAAATAAAGAAACATCTCATGTACTGTAGCTTCTTTTAAGGCTACTTGAAATGCTTCAAGCATAAGAAAATGACAGAAATTTGCTAAGAAATGGCAGAGATTGTCTTTTTTATTAGATATCTTTACCCAGAATATTTTTGGTTTTGCCACCCTGAACTATCATTGGATGCTTTTAAATGCTTAGAATCCACTAACTTGATATTCTAACTCCTGAGTTGAAGACATTTTCTTGAAAACTTAATAACAATTGTATCTAATAAGTAACCAGAATCAAGACATTTTTCTTGAAAACTGAACAACAATTGTATCTAAAGTAACCAGAATCATGACTTGATAATTTTCGGTAGTTTATGTATTTGTTGTGTATTACTATGTTGTGTAGTTTGTGACGAGCCGTGTGAACTGGGTGGTCCAGAGTTCTGCTGTAGACTACCTGCACCTCATGTTGGTGTGCATGCGCTGGCTCTTCAACAAGTACAACATCGACGGGCGCTTCTGTATCAGCATCCATGACGAGGTATGTAGTCCGTCCCAACATTTCACAATTTCATGATTAAACGCACAGTGTCATCAAGTACAGTCAGACTGTAGTAATGATGTATGATGAGGCAAGGGCCTTTGTTATTACAAGTAGCTTTTAGTACTATGTGTTAATTGCATCCCTTTTTTACTCACTCACTCACTGGGTTGAGCTGCCCTCGGCTCCAATGACTGCTCTCCATCTCTTCCTATCCTTTCTTTCTACCATCAGGTTTTTCCTGTCGAGCTGGGTGTCGTCCATTAACTGGTTAATATAGTTTCTTGCTGGACGACCTCGACTTCTTTTTCCATTTGTGAGTTCCCACAGTAATAACTGGTGTATGATTTCATCCTCACTTCTGTAGCAGTGTCCAATGAACCTCAACCTTAATTTTTTTCGTTTTTTTTGCCCTTTTTTAAAGCTTTTATAATAATTATTGTAGTTTTAAAGACTTGGAAAGCCCAAAATACATGTATGTGATGGAATGGAGTGAAAAGTACGGACTCTGATGTAAGCTACTCATCATCATTCATGCCCATCTTTATTTTTCTTCACTATCAAAAGACTATAACATGTCAATATTGTTATGTTGATGATACTAGTTTTCCCTGCCCAGGTGCGTTACCTTGTGCGGAGTGAGGACAGACATCGGGCAGCCCTGGCCCTGCAGATCACTAACCTGCTCACACGCAGTATGTTTGCCTACAGACTGGGCATGGATGATCTGCCGCAGGTACATGTACAGCATTGTTGCCTCGTACATTGTAGGACAGAAACTACATTGTGTATTGTATGAATGGTAAATGTTGAACAAGCACACACACGTTATATTAATTAGAAGCGTTTCACAGCCACACAACAGAGTGCCCCTTTACAGATTTCTAAGTTAAAAACAGAATTCTCGGTTACTCTAAAATTACAATCAAAATTCAACAACAATTAAAATTTAAAACAAAAGTAGTCCATACTGCACATCAGGTAGGATTCATATTGAGGAGTCTGACACAAAGTATGGAATTGCTGAGTTCCTGTATCTGCTATTTCTGCTTCTAATTGTCCTGAACTTGTCTGAGTTTTTGGTACACATGTACTTCTTTATTGTGAACGTCGCCAACATAGACAATGACATCTAACATAATTTCTCCAGGTCATTTGTACAATCATGTACATTGTATCTTCCTGACTATGTATAACTCTGAAAAATGTATCTGAACTGATCTTCGAATGAAAGCTTATTTGTCTTCTTGGTAGAATCTACTGCTCATCTGTGTTGGTAGAATCTAACTGTTCGTAGAATCCAAAGTTTAAGCTTTGTTGTATTTGTGAATGCCCCCGCCCCCAGGTCTTGAGTTGGTATCATACGAAACACAAAAACCTTGCAATCCTTAACCCTACTGATGGCTGAACATCAGACTATGACTTCAGAAAGCAAACTTAAACTACAGCATGTTCTTTTGATACCCAGTCTGTAGCCTTCTTCAGTGCTGTGGATGTGGACACTGTCATGAGGAAAGAGGTGAACATGGACTGTAAAACCCCCTCCAACCCACATGGACTCACCCGGGGGTATGGTATCCCACCAGGTAGGGACACTATAGGGCATAGCAAAAAATGTTGTGGTGCTTACTTTCAGGGCTAGAAATATTGAGTGCATGTGCACATTAGGGCAACCAAATTTGGAGCTGTACAGTCACCCATTTTTTCTGTGGGAGCACCTGTGCACCCAAATATTTTCTTAGGTTTAATGTATGTTAAGATGTTAAATGTAAAATAGTTACAGCATATTCTTTACATCTAAGTGTCAGAAAAAATTATACAATGATCATTGTTATATAGTACTTTTCTTGAAATGAAATATAATTATAGATTTTGCAGACATTCTGACTACTTATTTTATCTTATACGGTGCACCTAAAATATTTCTTGTGCACCCAATTTTTTTAGGTTGGGTGCACCAATGCACCTATTCCCAAAAGTGAATTTCAAGCCCTGCTGTTTTCCAAGACCCTAGAAAAAAATGCTGATTTATTGAATGTAAGTTTTAACTTGGGCATGTTTTGTTCTATACAGGAGATGCTCTGGACATCTACCAGATTTTGGAGAAAACCAACAGCAGCCTGAGAAAAGAAGATCAGCCCAGAGAGAAGAAAGCAAACAAAAGGATTTCTATAGGACAATAAGATCTTTTTGTTACTTTTTTGTGGAAGTTAAGAAAGATTGTTTTTTTTTATACAAAATGTTTTCTAGTTGTATATTAAGCTCACGCATCAGCAATTTAATTTGTTGGTTCTGAGATTCACCTGCAACATTTTTTTCTGGTTTGAAAAAAAATTCAGGTTCTGAATCAACTCCAATATGCTCATATTTTGGCCCCAACAGTTGAAGAAAGCCCCAACTCTTCAGAGTTGTTACAGTTTTTCACTCTATCTATGAATGCAGTCGTTTGATTAAAAGTTTGAAATTCGTTGTTTGACTTACAAACCAAGTCAGGTATGTTGACGTCATGGCTCCTATCATAGCATTTGACGCTGCCATATAGGATATGCCTTTGTTGGCCTGTTTTTATTTTTTGCCCTGCCACTTCATATTGTTTCTGAAAAAAATCAGAACCAACAAATTAAATTGTTGCAGCCTAAAGAACAAAAGGAGAAACAAAGTCATGAGGTGAATTTTGGAACCCATGAAGCAGCTTTATTTTCAAGGACATGGTCATAAGATGCCACTCATGAACTAGTTGTGTCCAAATGTGTACACTTAAGCTGAGGGAGGGGGGTGGCTAGCCTTGTAGTGGTCAATTGCTTTGTGGGCAATCTCTTGTCCAGATGCGCCTGGATCAAACGGGCTGTAGCCGTTGTCCAGGTTGAAGGTGTAGGTCTCCCCGAACATCGTGACGGTCACCTCGACACGGGTGTAGCCTCCGGTGGTAAAGTCAACGGAGCTTCCATCCACCATCACCTGTAGATAGGGAGATACAACAAGTAGTTGTAGAGTCTGGAATGAAAGCTCATACATGTATGTGTTGGTAGAATACATATTTATTATATTAGTTACAAAGTTTAAGCAACACGAAAAGATAAAACATGCATTTTCGTTCAAACAAGTCAGCCTTCATCAGCTGTACACGTTTTTTTTTAATTCACTCCTGACGTCATCATGCTTTGATTTGAGTGGATCACACAAATGAAAAAGGTTGACATCTTCAACCGAAAATCCATGGTGAGTTTTTCTTTTCATGTTTAAACTTAAAATTTGTAACTATAGTATAGAGTTAATTATGATAGGCCTGTAGAGATAGAAGGAAATGTTGATGTCTTTTATTATACATGTATGTGGAGAAAAAGTTTTTGACATTATTTGAGAAGCATTATGGTAGGTAAGACCTACGCGCCTACCTGGTCTATGACAAAGTTCTGGTTCTGGGCAGGAATTGTGGTGACCCAAAAGTGGTTCTGAATAGCTGCTTGATAATCAGTTACAGCCGTGTTGAACGTGGTACAGTCTGCAGACAGAGGAGATTATATTAAACTATCATTTATATTAAACTATTATTGAAGTTAAAACTTTTGGTCCAACACAAAGAAAACTCTCACCTAGAGCTTTCGACCAGTCACTCTGGTCTTCCTCAGTAGACTGACCCAGTGAAGCTTGTCACGTGGCTTCTTTGAAGTGTGACGTCAACGTACATCGGGGAAACAGAGAGGTCTCTAAAAGCCAGGTTTCAAGAACATACACGGCCTAGCTCTGCCAGTTCAGAGGTGTCTCAACACATCTACATAGAGTCACCCGGACATTTTGTTTCACTTGACACTGTAAGGATTTTAGACACTGAACAAGACTATTTCTTGAGAGGGGTGAAGGAAGCCATTTACATCAGGGCCCATCAACCTACATTGAACCGCGACGGGGGCCGACATCGTCTACCAGATACCTTTGACCCAGTGTTGACGTCACACTTCAAAGAAGCCACGTGACAAGCTTCACTGGGTCAGTCTACTGAGGAAGACCAGAGTGACTGGTGGAAAGCTCTAGGTGAGAGAATTTTTTGTGTTGGACCAAAAGTTTTAACTTTAAACGAGATTATATTAAGTATAATTGCTCTCCTCATTTTTCTTCTTTTGTACTGCTAAGCCCAATAATACTGTAAAATGGATTACCAGTGGACATGTACAATGTCATGTAGTTACAAAACAAGCTGAAGTGACCTGTACAAATAGACAAGGGTAAATAAAGGTAAAGGCAGTAAGGAACCTACATTGTAGGTAACTGATTCTGTGTGTGCAAAAGACAAGTGAATTTAGTGTAATAGTAATATGTAGTTAGTACCCTGTTGTCCAAAGGAGAGGACAAGCTTGCCAGGTGGGCAGAGCACTTCAAGGAAGTTCTAAACAGACCAGACCCAACTTCACCAGCAGTCACCGACCCACCTTCTCACCTCCTCCCGATTGACACCAGTGACTTTACTGAGCCGGAAATACATGAGGCCATAAAGAACCTGAAGAACAACAAGTCCCCAGGAATGGACGGCATTACCGCAGAAATGCTAAAAGCTAGAAGGGAATCCGTTGT